TAGTAGTGCTGTATATCACTGTGCACCACAGCCTGCTTCGTTGCTTCAGAATTCTGCTTGAGCTTTTGGTTTGGGACCACATTGCAGTGAATTTGGTCCCTCTGAATGGGACTGCAGTAGTCAGCATGTTGCATTTTGCACCATTTATGTCAGCTGATAAGAGAACTTGGAAGAAGTGCTTCATTGCACAAGCAGAGGTTGTTATTTTCCCAGTCAATGATCATTCTAACAGGAAGCAGTATTTGCACCTTCTCCATCCTCTTAATGCAGCTCAGCTGCTGAAGCATTTGTGCACCATACAGGAAACCTGGGCTTGATCACTTCTTGCCTGAGGTATTTAAGACCATATATCTCAATGCCTGCTGTGATTACCAGCCTGCAGACTGACTGGAACAGAGAAGAGCTGGGGGGAGGTAGCAGTGGGACACCAGGACTGATTGTATGCTGGAATTTGTCAAAGCAGGGCTGTAGTATGGGAAGGGCTGAAGCCTGAGTACTGGTCCTTGCTCCAGATGTGTGGCCATGAGCAGTCTGTAGAGCAGTCTGTAGAGATTTCTTTCCCCCTGGCTGTGTGCTGTAAGCTGTGACAACAGCTATTCTTAATTTATGGGGAACCCAAAGTAGAGTCTGTGAGGCTCATGCATGGGTAAGAGGAGGCTTGTTGAGTCTGTAGGTCTTGTTGAGACCAAAAATAGGTCTTAATTGTTTCAAGGCTGAAATTGATGGTGTGTATGCTCAGAAAATAAATGTTAGGAGCTGAGAGAATTGTAAATTCTGAACGGAAGCTCTTCAGGTTGCAGAATAAGGATTGAAGTGCAAACAGCTCCACTTCAGACCTTGAGGAGCCCTAGGGGTTGATACTTAGTAGAAGGGAACGTGTTGTGTTTTGCTCAGTATGGTCTGAAAGGGAGAAAGAAAGTTTCTGAGGAAGCACAGATGTTTCTGCTGGTGATAACTGGGACTCCCTGCTGGTGGTCAGGCACCTGTGTCTTTAAATCAGTTCCTTTAACCTCAAGAGAGGAGGCTTTGTGAGGCAAGGGAGGCTGGCTTGTTATTTGCAGCCTTTTTTCTGTTTCTCTTTGTTCCTGCTTGTTGATAGAAGGCCAGAAAGCCATGGGACTCCAGGGCTGGGGAATAACCAGTTACATTGTCTTGCCGGGACACCCAGGCAAGTTTTCTGTAATGGGAAGCAGCCCTGTTGTAATTCACCTGCCTGCCCCGATGCAGGAAGCTTCTCTTCAACCCTTTATTTGAGCTTAGCTTACAGTGTTATTTTTGTGTAAGTTCAGAAGTTGTGGGTAAGTGATATGAGTGGCAGGAACAATCATTGACTGTGAAGGAAAGAATCTAGAATAGTTCATTGCTAGCTGAATGGAAGTGGAGTTTGGTGAGCTGCCATGGGAGTTTGGCTGTGCTTCCCTTTGGGACCGCAGTAGAAAGTCATTAATACAGAACAAAAGGAAGCAGAGATTCCTGGTGCTCGCCCAGTCTGGCAATTCCTTCTCTTCTCGGGAAGCCCTGTTGTGAGGTGATGCTGCATAGGGTGATTTTTATGAAGACAAGGAGCAAAATGCGGACTTCAGTGAGTCAGAGTTGGTGCCGGAAGGGTGAGCGGGCCCTTCTGGGTTTGTAGTGCCACAGAATGGCCCGGGTTGGAAGGGACCTCAAGCATCGCGAATCTCCAACTCTCCTGCCACAGGCACCAACCTCCCCATTTATTGCTAGACCAGGATGCCCAGGGCCCCATCCAACCTGGCCTTGAACACCTCTGGGGAGGGAGCAGAGAGTTTTGTGCCCTCCTCTTGAATTGTTCTGTGACAGTATAAACCCTCTTGTTATCTTCAGTGGAGGGGCTGGTGACAGAAGTGAAAGTCCAGTTTCTAAAGGTAAGCAGCCAATTCCTAACAATCCTCCTCCTGGGGTCACGGTTTCCCCCCATGAAAAGCAACAGATGGAAAGGCTGTTTCTGTTCCACTCCAGCTCCCAGTGCTTTAGTGTGGGGAGCAACTGAGATGGAGGAGTTAGCAATGATACCAGTCTGAATCCTAAGTGATTACATAGAAATGATGCAGGCCCTTAGAGGGGGCTGTTTAGTTAGGTGACTTGCTGGTCGGCAGTGTTTCTGATTGGAAGCTGAAATAACAGAATACCAGCTCTCCCTTTCTCTCTTCAGTGCCCCCTGCCTACATCTTCGGTTGGCTCAGTAGCTGCCCGATACCTGGAAGAGGAAGAACTGAGATCCCAGCACATCCTGGAATGCCTGGATGCTCACATAGAGGAACTGAAAAAAGAGAGTGAAAAGATAGTGAGACACTTTGGACACCAGGAATGACATTTCCTCAAGTGCACTCAGTTGGAGCACTGCTTTCCTTGCATGGTTTCAAACTGCAGCAGAGGGAGGTACCTGCAAAGCAATTGCTGTTGGAGCTGAGTCAGCAGGCTGGATGCTGGGAAGAACATGTGCAGGAATGCCCTGCATCAGATCAGAAAGGAAATGTGCCCCCACCACCTGTTGGTCAGCTTCCAAGGGCTAGAAGGCTGTGGGAGAGATGCATGTTTGTGCACCCACCTGCAAAGACTTCATGTTGTTTTTAAAAGCGAAGCATTTGCTAAATCTAATGTAAAGTATTTTATGTGTATTTGATACATGTAAAAGCGTTGAAATAAAGCAAAGTGGAAAAACATTCCTTTTCTTCTTCCTGCGAATTTACATAGTAAAGGTTTTGGCTCATCTTGCATTCTCATTGGGAACTTTGATGAACAATTTAGACAGTTTTTCCATCCTTTCCCTCAAGTCATGTTCTTCAAGAAGCAAGAAATAGAATTCCTCTTCCTTTGGGCCACCCGCATTTTCCCCAGTTATTTTTCCCTTACTGGAATTTATTATTATTATTTCCTGGTTCATCTTCTGCTCTTTGCTGTTTGTATGATATCTGGCTTCTTTATCTTGCTCGTGTGCTGCTTGAAGTACTGCAAGATAACTGAAAAGTGAATAGCTGTATTCTGATTTTGGTTGCAGCTTCTGCAAAAGAAAGAACAGTGGTTGGAAGTGACAATGAAATTGAATGGGAGAGGAGCACAGAAGTGAGTGAGATCCATCTGTCCAGCAGAGGTAATTGCAGCTGCCATGGGCTGCTATCAGCCTGTTGCAATCCAGGCTGTGCCTTGGACACTTTCCAGTCAGGTTGAATTGCAGCACTGGAATACATCTAAGATCTGTTCCTTGAGTCCTTGCTCAACAAATTGAGTGAGAGAACTTGTTTGCTGTGGAGTTGCCTTTCTTCCAGAGAGGTGTACTGCAACTCTTCCCATAGTTGAGCCTTTACAACCTCTGCATGGACAAACGTAGGCACAGAAGCATCCCTCACTTTCCAATTCTTTTCCATTGGGTTTGGCAGATGTGTTCAGCAAGGTGATGCCTGCAGGCGGGCTGCAGCCTTCCTGACATGCCAAAACTGGGCCAGTGCATTGCTGGGCAGTTCTGCATTCCAGAATTGGAAAGGTGGAGGACTTCTGAATCAACACGTCCTTTTATTTTGCCTTTCTTCTGCAGTTCTTTGAACAAAGATGAAACCTTCAGATCCATCCTGAGTTCTCTCTGTGCCATTTACACAGTGAGTCATTTGCCTGCCCGCGTGGTCATGTGTTTTACAAACAGCTTTGGCCTGAGTTCGTGCTCAGAGCTGCCCACAGGTTGGCGTTCCTGGAACATCCACATCTCAGGTAAGGACTTGTTGGTGACGGGGTGTTTAGACAAAAACCGGGGTGAGCTGTAAAAGGTTGTTCTAAAGAGGACAGCTGGCTGCAGGGGAGCTGCTGGGTTAGAGCCTGGCCCAGCTCCCGTGTGGGTTGGCTGTGGGTTATCCACACTGCCAGACATGCTCTCCTCATCTCTGCTGGGGAACGTGCATTTCTCTCACAAAGGGGAGGAGGCAGAGCTGTGTTTGTGCTGGGGGAAGGTGTCACAGCAAGGCCTCTGAGCCCCTTTCATCCAGGGGTGCCATGTTCTGCAGGTGCTTCCCTGTGCCTTCATGGCATCATACAGCCCCTGTGATGAGTGCCAGCTGTATTGCTAATGAACGAGGAGAAGGGTGGGTTTTTTTTGCCTTTGAACTCATGCTTCCAGTAGCACCAGAGAATCTTTTACACATCTGAGATGTTGATGAGATGCTGAGCCAGATGTTTGCTTTATGCTTGCAAGACAAAGGTGGCAATTTGGTTGTGGTAGTTCTCTTTGCAGCAGGGCAGTGTCTCTGAAGCTGCTGCAGGCTCTGCCTGCCTCCAGCATGCTGCAGTTGTGGCTGTAAAAGTGCTTTTTGGTCACTTTTCCCTTTAAAGTATTAAATGTTTGTGCCTATGTACGTGCGTGTCACTGCAAGGTCTGAGCGCTGCAGCACTTTGCAGGGGAGGAGGGAATGATCCCCAGGATGTCACCAGGCAGAGGGCAACGATGTGCAAGGAAATGTCCTCTGTGTTCCCTTTGTGCCCATTGCTGGCACCCAGTGCTCACTGAGGCAGTGCCAGCCCACAGGAGGGCAGGACTTCAAACTCTCTATACTTGAGAGGAGACTGTGGCAAACTGGGGGTTGGTCCCAGATAATTGCAGTATGATGAGAGGTGATGGCTTCAAGTTGCATCAGAGGAAGGTCGTGTTGGATGTCAGGAAGAATTCAATCTCAGAAAGAGCAGTGAGGCACTGCACAGCTGCACAGGGAGATGGGGCAGTCACCTGGAGGTGTTCAGAACTGTGGGGATGTGGCTGGGGGATGTAGGCATGGTGGGGTGGGCTGGGATTGGACTTGGGGAACTGAGGGGTCTTTTCCAACCTTAATGACTCTATGGTTCTATGTCATGTATGGAGCTTCCTTGTCTCAAAGTATGAAAAACTCTCACCTGCTTGGTGGGGATGAGGGAAGTACTGGGATAACCCACACATTTTATGTGCAGGATGCTGCATCTTTGCGAGGAGGAGTTTGTATCATTTCATCAATGAAACAGAATGCAAAACCAGAACAAATTTATTGTAAATCCAAGAGCAAACACAATGTCCATTAGGTCACACTAACATCAGAGGTGTATGAAGACGTTGACCTTACAGGGTGTGTTGGTGAGCTCCATATCAGACAGCTGTATGCACTATGGTTCTCCAGGGGGAGGTTATGGGATGTGCTGTATGTGGTCATACCATCACTCAGCCTCACACAGCCCCGTGAGCTCAGCAGTTCCAGTTCTGCACAGACGAATTGGAGGAAGGAAAGATTATCAAGAGCTTTATTCTCCATCTTGCTGTATTTTTAATTGCGCGAACACCTCTATGCTTGAGATACGATTACAGTGCTAATATTACAGGGAAAAAAAAAAGTGCTTACAGTTCAAATGCTCTAATATAAAAAGGTAAAAATTATTTTGTTTATTGAATTTAAGATTCGGTGTAAGAAGTCATTTCGCAGTATCCCTAAAATGCGTAAGACAATGAAGTGCACAAGAAAACGTCGCTTTATATCTCCTTCCCAACACTTCTCTCTCCTGGGATGTCTAAAGAAACCTGGCTTAAATCACCTGAAATTCCCCGTGTCCGATAGTGCTGCTCAGAACCAGAGGGTGCTACTCTAAGTAGTCGTAATAAGACTTCTCTTATGGTCCATAGTTTAGAAAGCAACCATTGCTGCTGAAGGCCCAAGGCCAGATGGCCACTGGTTTCTCCAAAGCGTTGCCTGGGCAGTGCTACTGCAACTTGGGTGGGGGGTTGATCCCTTTGTAATGGGATTTTCTGTCTCTGTACTCCTCTGAGGCCTTGGTCTTGCAGGAAGACGCCAAAGGAACAACTTTGCTTGGGAGAACAAACGATCTCCTAAAGCTGTACTGGTTTTGGGGTGTGTTGGGTGGTGCAGGAGAGTCGGGGAACGAAGAGGAGGCGTTACTGCGTCTCAACGTCGTACTTGAGGATATGTGAGTAGTAGCCGTGGTTGGCGTTCTCGTGCACCATGACAAAGAGCTCCGTGCACCCCGCGGTGTTGCAGGTTCCCTCCCAGAAGCCGTCTCTGCTCAGGGTCAGTGTGTAGGTGTCCCCCGCCTGCACCAGCACCTTGGATATGCCCTGCATTTTGAGCTTGAACTGCACGTTGCGGTTGGCCGGCAGCAGCCTGGAGAGCGGCTCCAGCAGTTCGTAGCCCTCTGCCCACCTGCTGTACCTCAGTGGGAAGGCGGGCCACTTCACCTCGGTGTTCAGGCAGGTGATGAGGTAGTTGAAGACGAAGGTGTAACTGCCGGGATCTGACTTCTTCTTGGTGAAGAACTTCAGAACGAAGCTCCCCGCGTGGGGCAGGTGCACCTTAAACTCCACTTGGTTGCCGCGGTGGATTTGCATGATGTGCTGCCTGCTCATCTCCTCGCTCAGGCTGCTGCTGTCGGTGTGCAGCGAGGTCAGGATGCTGATGTCCTTCCCCATGGTGAAGGTGAGGGAGCAGCGCCCGTCGTTGGTGTGAATGATGGGGTCGGGGTGCGAGGGCCGCAGGAAGCCCTGTTTCTCTGTGAACCAGCTGGGCCCCACAGGCTGGTGCAGGTCCTTTGGGAAGCGTCTGCTCTTGTCCACGGACTTGCACTCCACAATGTACTCCAGCACGCAGGTGTAGACGTCTTCTGTGGATTTGGAGGGTCTGGCAAAGATCTGCAGCTCTTGGCGTCCCGTCTTCTGGGGGTAGATCTCCAGCTTCATGCCCTGCTTCCGCAAGGTCAGCAAGCCTTGTTCGTCTGTTCCCTCCAGCTTAAAGGTGAATAGTGTGGAAGGGCGGCACTCCACTGATATGGTGGCTGTTCCATTTTCTATGAAATAGGTAAGAAAAGAAACCACATTGGAGTTCTAGTGCATTTTTTGTATGGAAAATGAACCTAACCACTGCTCTACAGAGCTGCAGCCGTCTGCAGAAATCAGTGCCCCTCAGAAAGAGCAAGGTCCGAGTGGCCTTGGCTCGCAAGCCTGCATTAATCCTGTAGAACATAAACTGGAATGGAGTTGTGCTCCTGTAGAATATAAACTGAAAGTGTCCCTGTGGAATATGAAAGCCTGTGTGCAGTGCAAGTGCCAGCAGCCTGTGTGCTTGAAGAGGGCTGACTTTGATGGGCTCAGCCTGATTTCAGCCCAGCAGCTGCCCCAAGGAGCTTTGGAGAAAGGCACACAGACATGAGATCCTCTGCTGCCCTACGAACCCGTTCATAGTGTGCTGGGGGACATGAAATCCTTCAGTGTTGTTGCCTTTCAGTTTTAACTGTGTTCTTTGCATTCATGGGGAACAGCTTAATTCCTGCAGCCCTTTAAGGGGTTGGGGAGGGTGACCCCAAATTTAGGGTTCTCTGCATGTCAGAGCTGCAGGGTGCACTCAGGGTGCTCAGTATAAAATATAAAGAAGAGCCTGGCTATGCACTGTTCTGTAAATCAAAATTTGGAACTCGGCAAAAGGCTTTAATCTCGTTGCCAGGTTATATTTACTAATAGATGAACAGCAATGCTTCTAATCCTGCACTGTGGGTACTGACATGACAAGGGCTTACCTGTCTGGATGAGGGCTGTCTGTGGGTGTGCATCCAGAAGCCCCAGCTTGTAGAAGTCGCTGTTGTGCTGCAGGTTGCTCTCAAACTGCTTCAGTGTCAGCGTTGGTTTGAGGAGCTGCCAGTTGCTGTTATCTGGGAAGTGATTGTTCACGAAGAGAGCCGGGTGAGTCAGAAAGTAAAACTCGTTGTATCTGGAAGGAGGAGGAAGAGATGAAAGGAAAATGAGTAATGATAAGCAGTTATTTCTTCCGCTGTGCTGTGGTGGTGGTTTTGTGGGAGGAAGTTGGAGCGTTTTGGGCTGCTGAGGGCTGTGGGTTTGAAGATCTCCAAGGAGAGAAGGGACCGGAGCCTCCCATCACCAAGGCAGAGTGCTGGAAAATGGCATCTCCAAGGCAAAATGCTTTTGGATAAAACCAAGGCGTGTGGCTGTCCCTGTGATGATAGGCTCCCAGGGATGGAGGAAGGCTCTTCTTGGCATTGGAAAGTGAGGCACTTGCTGGGACAGCCAAAAGCCAGGAATCCAGCATCTCCTTGCATTGCTTAAATGGAGGCAAAGCACAAGGAATGGAAGCAAAGAACCGAGTAGCACCTCCAGAAGCTGCTGAGCTTCTGCCTGCATAGGAGCATGCTCCATCCCCTGCATGTGCTTCAGCTCTTGCAGTGCCACATGAAATTTGCCACTGGTTTCCCCATGCCCATTCGCTCACCTTTGTGGTAGGTCTTTGTGCTTAGACAGTGAATATTTCCTTACCTGTAGGTGAACTTGGTTGAGGTATCGTCCACAGTGCCGCTTCCCCAGGTGCTGTCCAGGAGGTGCCACCTCCCATCGAGGTAGACGGCGTTCCAGGCATGGTCAGAGTTCCCCTGGAAGGTCTGCCCAATCTTGTACCCGTAGCCCTTGGAGTACCCCGACAGCTTCATGCACTGGATCCCTGCAAAACTGAAAGGGAACAAGGATTTTGCTTTTCTTTCAGCCTTTGCATAGGCACTGGGGAGTGTTCCACAGGAGGAAGGAGATCTTCTCTGTCCTTTTTGGAAAGTTGCCCCTCTGCCTGATGCACCGTGAGTGCAGAAGGGCTGGTGGAGGAGGACGAAGACAAGAGTGCCATGCTGCTCTCTGTCTTGTTCTGCAGCGGAATCCCTTTGATGCTCTCCACAATTAGCCTACATAATTACAAATTAAAAGTGTGTTTGCTCGTGCCTGTGCTCTCTCTGGAACAGGAAGCCCAGTGCTTGGCAGCAGGCTCAGCCTCAGACCTCACAGTGCTGTGGGGTCGGATTGCATTTCCTTACAGTGTGGCCTTGTGCTTGCTCAAGCTACAAACGAATACACATTTCCCTTTATATATATATATATATATATATATATATATATATATATATATATATATATATAATGAATACTTGTTGAAGTGTAAATAGGATTGAAATAAGCAGTGTGTTAATGAGCTCTCTGCTTTGACTCTAATGTTAGCATCGCATTTCAGCATTAATCTCAACTTGCCACACTTCGAGGATTGTCTTTTGTGTAGGACGGTATTGACATTTTTCTTCTTCATTGAGAAGCGTGTTTGCTGGAGCAGATACCTTCAGTGACAAACTGTGTGTGCTGCATAATGCAGGCTGAGTTCAGGGAGGGGAACAGTGGCATTTATGGGGAAGATAATTAGCATGGTTGTAAAGAAGCCAGGTCTGATAGCTGTGGTTACTGGCTGGTCGCTGGCAGTTCGGCGTTGCTCATGGAGGGGCACTTTTTATTTTGGAGCTGATGCTGCTGTAAGGGGAATGGCCCCAAACAGTTTCATAGCATCACGCAATGGTTGGGCTGGAAGGGACCTTACAGCCCACCCAGTCCCAACCCCGGGTGTGGGCTGGGTGCCCCCCACCAGCTCAGGCTGCCCAGGGCACCATCCAGACTGGCCCTGAGCACCTTCAGGGATGGGCATCACCAGTGTGCTGCTGATGGAATGGGGAGCAGCACCAGATGCTCCTGGGCTGTCCAGACCTCTTGTTAGCTGGGGTGTGCAGGCAGAACGCTGCGGGAGGAATCCTGCCCTGTGCTCACACTTAAGCACCAGAAATGGCACTGCAGGAGTTGTGCTCGAGTGTGTTCAGAGTTCCCAAGTGGAAGATCAGCACGTCCCACTGATGGTCCCTGATACTAACCAGGCCAAAAGCAGGCTACAGCATCCTGTGGGAGCTGAATGGCCTTGGTGAGAATCGCGTGGGATCTCATCTCGCCTCTTGTGTAGAACCTTACACAGATAAATTCACCACGCAGGGGGAAGATGGAGGATCTCCTGCTTGACTTGGCAACGTGATGGTGGAAAATGACTGAGATGCAAGGATCTGAACCTGGAAGAAATGAGCTGAGAAGCAGTTGCCGACATCTGTTTGGTGTACCAAGGTGGTTAAGTGTTTTGGTGCACCAAGGTGGTGAGTTGTTTCTCTGCTTCAAAAGGAGTAGGAAACAATCCGGATCTTGCTACGGGCATCACTTGAGTTCAATGGCAGCTTCTTCCCTTTGATTTCAGGCTGACTTTGATGATTTCATCTGGAAAAAGAAGCAAGTCTGGCTTCTCCAGACTTGGAGGGTTCACCCACAAGAAGGGAGAACGAGGGGGTTGTCTTGCAAGAAAGAGATGGCTTTGGTTATGGTTTCTCAGAGAAGGAGCTGAGTATTTAGCTCATTGATAGACTGGGTGATGGGAGCCATCCTGCCTCCAGAATTGCTACCCAGCCTGGAATGGAGAGATGCGGGGTGCACCAACGTAGCCTTTAAATAGGAAGAGAGTTCCTTGGAAGGATTGTTTTTAATGAACTAAGCATATGCTTTTTAATGAATAGATGATGATAATTTCCCCTGCTTCTAACTGCTAATAACTGGTTCGTAAGATGTGGTTATAAATTCATATTTTGTCATCCTATTTCTTTAATTTACTCTTCAAAAAGCAAGATCAGATGCCATGGGATATTGGTTGGAGGTATCTATCATGTTAGTACCATTAGCATTTGGCATTTGTCTGTTTTAAAACGGGTCCTTTTCCTATTAGATTTTGTTAATTTGACGGTGAAAACCTTCCAAAATTTTTTGGGATGGTGTGGAAAGCCAATGGTCCTTGCTGATGGCTGATGGTCAATGGATGGCAGCTGGGAGCAGCGTGTGGCCGTGGGGACCTGGGTTTTGGCAGGAGGGCTGGGGAAGCTCCTGCTGGGCTTCACCTGACTCTGCCCCAGCAGTGTGCTGCAGGCAGCTCCTTCCTTTGGGTTTGAGTCCTGCCATGCTTTTAACCTTCAATTGCAGACACTCAAAGGAAAAACCCAGGCTCTGCTAACCGAATTATCTCCGTGTTTTCATCTGCCATTATGTTAATGCGATGCGAAGCTCAGCAGATGGCACAAAGCAAATTATGCTGGGGAAGGAGTGGGGAGGGAGCCAAATTGACCTTTCCAGGACTTGCTGCTTTTCCACAGCGTGGTTTGAAAGCTGAAGTTCTGCGTCCTGCGTAAAGTCACATCAGTCAATGCAAAGGCAGACAGAACAGGCACACAGATGACAACAGATGTTAACCCTCCTTGGCATTGAATGCTCCTGAGCTTAATTTACCTGCACATTTGCTGGAAGAGCCCAGCGTATCCCTCACAGACGCTCTTCCCGGTCCGCAGCACGTCCGTGGGTTCGCACAGCCGCAGGCTTTTGTTATGGAAGCCCACTACGTCGTACTCTGCAGGAAGGAAGACAGCCAAAGTTCATCCCAAGGCCCCAGGCAGCGTGGGGGCAGTGCTGGTACTGCTTCCATCTCTGTGAGCACAACCAGGGTGAGTCCAACCCCAGCCCACCCCCATCTTGCCCACTGCTCACGTCCCTCAGTGCCACGTCCCCACGGTTCTGAATACCTCCAGGCAGGGATGGTGACCCCACCACCTCCCTGTGCAGCCGTTCCAGTACCTCACTGCTCTTGCAAAATGCAAGCAACCTGGAAATCCAGTTAGCCACCATCACACTCTCCGGCTGGGAGAGGTTTCCCTTCTGCTTCCTTCCTTCTCTTTACATCTTGGTTACTCCTGAAACTCCAGTTTCGCTTGTTTTGGGGTTTGGGAGGAAGAAGCAAGGGAGACTCATGACGGTGGTTCCCATGGGGTCAGAAGGGTGTTGATATTGGCAGAAACAGCAACCAAACAGGTTTTATGAAAGCTGGCCTCTCTGAGGTCCTGCTCTGATGTGTCCATCAGAGAAACACCATTAGGAACCTGCTGGAAACTGGATTCAGGGCAGTAGTGAGGACAAAACTTCTGGTGGGGCAGAAGGGTTCTGGATGTGACAACTGACTTCTGGTGCCTGACAGCGTGTCTTCATGCTCCAGCTGCTTTGCTGGTGGGACTGCTGTGGTTGCATCTTTCAGTAAATTGTGTAGGGGTGGCAGAGCCATCAGATAGTAAGAAATCATGTGCACGCAAACCTTACAGGGTCCTGCAGTGCTAGGATGGGGAGCGTGGAAGCAGAGGTGGTGGAATAAACTCTGGGTGCATTTCTGGGTAAATCATAGGCTGTCCTGAGGACCCATAAGGATTACTGAGTCCAACCCCTGGTCCCATGCAGCACCACCCAAAAAATCACCCTGTGTCTGAAAGTGCTGTCTAGATGCTTGCTGAACTCCAATAGCTCAATGCCATGACCACTTCCTTCCACCAACCACTCACAAAATACAGAGTAAATTACAACAGCTGCGTAATGGGAGCAGGAGCAGCAGTGTTATCTTCTCAGTGGAAGATCCCAGCTTACCTATATGGTGGCATATCCACATCCAGATGACACGGACTTTCTCCAGGTCGGTCCGGGCTTGTTTAAGCAGGGTTTGGACGAGCTCCTCTACGCTGCTCTTGGTGTTCACCTGGTGGAAGAGGAAGCGTTGTGAGACTGGCATGAAAAAGCACTGCAGTGTGGATCCCCTGCCTTCTTCATCCCAGTCCTGCTAAAGCTGCTGAGAGCCCACCTGCCAGCACGCACACTGCTGTGGCTTGAGCTTCATTAAATATAGAAATACAAAGCTCTAATTCCACGTTTTGAGCAAGATGTATTTTTGGTCACAGGTTCCCTCCCAAAGAGGGGTGTTTGTTGCTGATGTGTGCAGGGAAGAGGGACGGAGGCACAAGTGAGACTTACTTTTAATGCATAGGCATCCAGCTTCTCAAATTTCTGTAGATCCACTGCCAGGGATTTCAGAGAGGATTTGTCCCATGGATACACTGGGAAGAAACAAGCGGTCATTGTCTGGGGAAGGGAGGGCTGCTCCTGCCTGAGGGAATGGCAGCAGTGGGTGCTCAGGGACAGCGAGTGTGAGGGCACCCGTGCAGGCAGAGCCTTGTTTATCTCAGCTTTCCCTGCAAAGGGCTATTAGGCTGACGATAGGGGAGAGAAAGCAGATTTATGTGTTTGAATGTTCCTGGTACATACTGCTCCGAAAATTACTTGTCGCCTTTTGGGAGCTGGATATTTTCTTAAAATTGGTTATCAGTTTTCATCTTTGTCAGGTTATAGCTGCAAAAGCTTAGCGCAGATGTGAGGTCTGGAGTAGCTCAGCGTGTTAGCTGGGCAGCTGGGAGGTGAGCACAGGTCCTGGCTGCAGCACTGGCATCGGGGCACGGAGTTGTGAGAACACCTCCAGTGTGTGATGGTCCCAAAGCCACTATGGATGTATGGAGGACTGGGAAGGTGGATGTGGTCATGGTAGTACAAATCAGATCACTGCTTTGTGCCCTGCAGGAGCTTTTAGGAGTGATGGGATTCCTACCTGGCACTGGCACAGGTTGCCCAGAGATGTGGTGGATGTCCTGTCCTTGTAAACACCCAAGGTCAGGCTGGATGGGGCTCTGAGAACCTGATGGAGCTGTAGGTGTCCCTGTTCATTGCAGGGGAATTGGGCTAAATGGTCCTTAAGGGTTCCTTCCCACTCAAATGATTCTATGATTCTACCTGGGGCCAATGTGGGACGGGATGCAGCAGATAGTTACCATGCAGGTCTTTTGCACTGGGTGGCCTTGGGGCTTCGGTCCTTTCAAAAGCTGGAAGACAACACAAGAAAGTGTGAGGTGAGCAGGTCTTGGCAAGTGAAGAAGAAAGAGAAATAGATGAATTCTGAGTCCCCAGGCTATCCCTGTGCTCTGTGCTCCTTGGCTGCTGGATGTCTCCCATTGCAACCCCAAGGCTGGAGACATCAGATGCCAGCCAAACCATGAATGGCCTGAAGGATGTGCAGTGGCACCTGGCCCAGGGGCTGGTGGCATCTCCAGAGCTTTGAGGTGACAGTCCCAGTGACAGAGGTGGGATTGGGTTCCTTCCAGGGCCAACCCCCCAGCATGGGGCTGTGTGGTGGCCGGCAGCCTCACCTTTGTTGTCCTGGCCTCTCAGGCTGGGCAATCTCCGGGGACCTGTAATGACACCAACACAATTTTCGAAGGCACTGTGAGGTTATGGCAGTCGGCACCTGGCATAGGGGTGCAATGTTTCCCTGGCTCAGAGAGGTGACACCTGCAGAGGGAGGGATGTCCTCTGTGCTATGGCCATGGTGGTTCCCCAGCCAGGAACGTACCTTTCCCAAAGGAGAGCTTCTTGAAGAACTGCGGGGAGGTGCCCTTGGGATGGATCTCCACTGTCACGTGGGTTCCTGAAAGAAATGGTGACAAACACAGTGGGAAAAGGAGCTCTAATCAGCAAGAGAACGGGAAGGTGAGTGGCATCAAGCCAAGGGGTCCGTGAGCCAAGCCCAGGTCATGTTTGCCCAAATCTAGAATCATGGGGTCACCCGGGTTGGGGTGGACCTCCAAGGTCATTAAGTCCAACTGAAATGGCTCAGCTGTAGCAAAACAGGCAGCACCTCTGGCCCTGTGAAGGGACCAGAGCTCTGCACTTTCCTGGCAGAACAAATAAACCATACCATAAGAAAGCCCAGGGTGGCTCCTAATGTAGATCTCAAAAAAATCTAATTTTTCCCAGTTCTCATAAAGAAAAAAAGAAAAAAGAAGAAGGCGGTCTGTTATAGTGTAACAGGCGATAAAGCAGAAGTCCTCAGTGAGGATCATGTGGCAGCCTGAAGAAGAGGTTTATTGCCCTATTAAATAGTCCTTGATGGAGATACGGTAAACAGAGAATCAATGGCTTTCATTGATTTTTCTCGGAATAACACATAAAAAGGCTCAAAGCTATGGAAATGACTTGGCTTGGGATACGAGAGCCTTTGGCAAAGGCCACTGCCTGTGAGGGGCAGCAGTGGCTGGGAGCACGGTGCTCTGCACACCAGGGTGCTCCCAACTGCTTCGCTGGAGACTGGGGGTCTTTGCTCAAAGCTCTGCTCTGGCCATAAGGGAGAACTGGAAGGAACAAGTCAGGAAGTCTTACAAGGAGTTACCCAGGCTGTCTGACAGAGGCTGTGCTCTGGGGCAAGCATGTAAGGGGGTTCAGCCCTCCTTATGCAGTTGCTTCTCAGCAGCGTCCCTTTGGGCGCATACCATGATTTCCTTAGGGTTTTATATTTGAAGGGGTGCTTTTTTATTTTTCAAGATTATTTTTATCTTTGGATTTTGTGGGCATTTTACTTGCCAACAACTTCCCCTTTCTCTCTCTCTCTCTCTTTTTTTTTTAATTAGATTTTTAATGTTTTTTTTTCTTCCAGAAACAAATTTAGCATGGTGGGATGCCTCCTTCCAGTAAGTTCGGCACTTAAAAAATGATAAAAACTAATCCTGTGGGCCAATGACTTCTTTGGGGTGCAGCTGGCCCTGCTCTGCTGTGGGACGGCTCCTTGCCCTGCACCCTCCTTGCCCTTGGAGGTCAGGGGGTGATGGCAATGCTGACCCACTCTGAGAGGATGCAGGGCACTGGTGGCCCTTTGCCAATGTCCCTACGTGCCTCCTGACTTTGTGTCTGTGGTATGGGATTCATGGGCACTTGTCTGCTTCCTGTAGCTACGTTGGGAACAACTTAACAGTCCTTAGAAGTCCAAAAGAAGCATTCAGAGGTATTGCTGTGCCCCAGTGCTTGGGACTGGAAGGACCTAAGGACTTTCTGAGTTCCTGTGGGATCATTGTAGGGCATTTTTTGCTAGTTTGGGCTGACCCAGCATGTTTTGTTACAAAACTGCTTGAACAGGAGATCCCCAAATCTCTGCTCTGGAAAACTCATGTCCCTTGGGTGGCCACTTACCTTCATTAGTGTAGGAAGTAACAGTTTGCTTCTGCTTGTGGAGCTCCTTGGGGGCTTGTTGGCCTGTTTGTAAGAAGATAGACAGCTGAGTGCCATGAGGAGAGCAGAGAGGCCAGTGTCAGCTCTGCAGAGCAGTATGGATGTGGATGAGGGCTTGCATGTGGTGCTGGGTGGGACATGGAATGGGGTGAGATGGTGGTGCAGGATGAGGTGATGGCATGGGGTGATGTGAACAGGGGCCATGGGAGCTTGCATACCCTCAAGGGTGGAAGATGCCCAGATGTGCATTCACCACACTGGGCGCAGCCAAAATGTTGGGCTGTCCCAGACCTTGGGGGTGTATGGGCAGCGTGGGGCTCTTGGGAAAGCTGAGGATCCTGCAGGTTTGCTCTGTACTACGTGGGGAAGAAGGTGGCCCACTGAGATGGTAATGTGGATGATAAAGGGGGGACTCATTAATCCATGTGGTACCAAGGGGTTGAAAGAGCTACCTGCCCTTCCAACACCTCCGTCACCAATGTCATCAACACGCATCTCGGCTGCAGTGTGAGGAGAACATGGAGGTGACCCAAGAATCCCACCCCCCAGTGACCCAAGAATCTTGTGCCCTGCAAAGCCTACGGAGCGCTGGAAGGGGACAGGTTGCTCCCAGCACGTTGCAGAGCTGGGCACCAAACACTGGAGGATGGACACTGCATGCTGCTTTTTGATAGCGGGGTTTCCCCACATGCAGGATGAGAAGACAACGTACCGCTGAAGTCTCTCTTTGGAGGTGGCTGCGGTCTGCTGTTTCCATTTCCATCATCCTTCAGACCTGTACAACACAAATACGAGGTTGGCAGGCAGTGCTGGCACAGCGGGGTGTCAGCTGGGCGTTATTTCCCACATAAATGTGCGGACAAGCACGGCGATCGGGTCTCTCCATGCAGCTCCCTTCTCTCCTGCTATCAATTCCCAAACCAGCGGGCATCAACACAGCAGTCAGCCTTACCCTGAGGGCTTCGAGCAGAATCTCCCCTTTCCCCCCTTTCCTCCAGCAGGGAGGATTCCCTACGTTTGCAGAACACGGCTTCAGCCTTTCGGAAGACCCCCCCCCTTGGAGGCTGGGAGCCAGGGAAATGGCACCGGACCTATAAATGGCTCTGGGCAGCCACCTGTGGGGACAAAGCCTTCACACCCCTCGCACCCGGCAGCTTTGTCTCGTGCTCACGGGGCAGGACGGGGTGCACAGCGGCACACACCAGCAGCGTGCAGGAGAAATCGGCTCTCCTGCAAAAAAAGTTTAGGGTTTTGTTGTTGTTGTTGTTGTTTTTAATGCAACAGGTGGAATGCGAAAAGCCCGAGCCCTGCTCCAAAGCTCCTTGCCCCCAGCCGGCGCGGCACCTGCCGCCCTCCCCTCCCTGGGACAAGGCTTTACCTGCGCCGTCCGTCAGTCCGTCCCTCTGCCCTTTCCGCTCGGGGCGGACGATGAGCAGCAGGTTGATCGCCACGGCGTCGGCACCGTCCTTCAGCTCTACGGTCCCCATGGCGGCAGGGCCACCGCTGAGCTGCCGCCGCGCCGAGCTGCCTCGCTCGGTCACCATCCGTGCTCTGCCAAAGCCGAGCGCGGCCAGGAGGCAGAGAACGACCTGCCCGGGGGAAGGAGCCGCGCTTCGGCCGGGGGCTCTGGTTTCAGAGCGTGCCCTGGGCTCCCCCTCCCCTCTCTCTGCCCTTTCGGCTTTGAGCACTTGCCTGCACTCAAATCCCCCTCGCAAGCTCTCTTGGCTTGGGGGGGATTCGCTTTCCCCAGCGGGCAGAAATCCTTAAAAGGCTTTCCCTTCTGATTCTGTCCCCAAGTGGAAACTTAAAGGATGCTTAGGGACAGAAATAATCATAACCTGCGCTGCTGAGAGAGGAGCTGCAGCCCGGCGTGGTTGGGAAGAGCCGCTGGAATCAGAATGCACCGGCAGCCGCTACGGGGTGGGGAGATCTGCCTCTCCACCACGCCTGGTGCACAGAGCAGAGCGAGCAGGGGTAGCTGCCTGCTGCCAAACGGGCTGTCCCGAAAGAGCAAATCATCCTCCCACCCCCCTCCCGCTGCAGAGGCACCGAGCGGGAGCGGCATTGAGCAAAAAATCCTACTTTTCCAGCGACACCCCCAGCCCAAAAACAGGGCAGCGCTGCAGGGTTAGCGGCTCCGGGGCTGGCAGGGAAACGCTTTTCTAATTTTATCTCTGGCCTCTGTCCCACTGTGCGGCTGCTGGCCGGACCGCCTGGGCACCGCTGGGCTCGCCAGCAGCCTTGCCAAGCCACCTGGGGCTTGCCCGTCTCCGCTCCCTGAGATTTATGGCTGCGGTGACTTTCTGGTCGCTGCTTCGCCACCTGCCTGCTGGCCTTTAGCGCTGCTCGCCTGGCTCCCCTGCCCGCAGCACCCTTTCCTCCCTGCCATCCCTCTCCCATGGGCAGCCGCTGTGGTTTCAGCCCTTCGCCCTCCTGGGCTGCCTGTCCGCTTCATCCTGCTGTCCGTCTTGCGCCAATGTCTACCCACCAACATGACACACTCTGCTGCTGCTTCCCATCCTGGTGCTTTCCTCACTGCATGCTCCCATCCTCTTTGCATGGCTCCTTTCCATTGCCAGGAAGGTGGTGGTACAGCATCACTAGGGACAAATCCGGGCAGAAGCCACTGACAAAAGAAGGCAGCACTGCTGCAGCTGAGTTACATCATGGTTATGAGCCCGAGTGCTGCAAGCCCCCAGTGGAAGAAATCCATGGGAACTGGGAGCAGAACCGATGCATTTTGTCCGTGGTTGTGTTGAAGTTTTCTTTCTTTCAACAGTGACTCGGTCATTTCAGCCAACAGCATCGCTCTGCCATCACCATGACCTGCCTGCAGTGTATGTCCAGAAATGAAAGCATTTGGAGGAAGTTCTGCAACCCTAGAAATGGTGAACATCGAGGCAAAGGCAATTCTTCTTGCAGGACTTTTTTCTTTGCTCCTCATCTATTTTCCCAAGCAAAGAATACCCTGAGGGTGGAGCAGAGAGATTTCTGGTTGTGGTTTCATCATAAAGTGAAGGCTTTGTTGTGGTGGGCGCTGCTCATGGAATCACCCAGGCTGGAGAAGAGCTTCAGGGTCATTGAGTACCACCATACCTTGACCTTTATCACACCCAGCACTTTGCCATGTCCTCACGTCCCCACTATTGGCCCCATCAGCACCAAGCTCTGGTTTTGGTACTAGGGCATTCAGGAGGTTGTTAAAGCCCTGTGATTTCTCATGCATGGGAAATCTGTCATTGGCCTGAGATAAGGTCATGGCCAGCAACAGCTGTCTGTGTGCCAGGATATTTTTGAAACTAAAAATTTACATTCTGAAGAGGGAAAGGAGAAAGGTTTCTTATTGTGTTGATTTTAAAATAAAAGCAGCTCTTTGAATTTGCTGCGGGATGCAAAATGCTCACCTAAGTCCCAGGGAGATGAATTAATGGCCAGAGAACAAGAGAAGCTATCAGAGTGGCATGATTACACGTATTTACCACGTAGCTGTCATTTCTCCAGGGGTGATCCGGGGGAAGGAGAGCCCATACAAATGTAGAACAAGAATTAGGTTATTTGAGCCCCATTGGGTGGAGAAGAAGATTGCAGGCTGCCTGGCCGAGGAGTGTGCATTAACTCTTCTGTGGGCATTTCGTGTTCAGTGCAGATCTGGAGGCTGTGCAGGAGGGGTTTCCCAGCCTCTGATGGACTTTGTAGCTACAGGAGATCCCCATTGCTGGTACTGCAAGGTGTGAACTTGGAGACGTGAAGCCAGGTCAGCTGTTCCATGTGCAGCACTGCTGGGTTTGGACAAGTTCTGTTTTCTTCCTGTGCCCTTTGCCCACCTGCCACTGGGGTGGTGCAGCCCTATCCACAGCGATGCCCTGAGTCCTTTTCCCAGCCCAGAGCTCCTTTAGAGCTCATTATTGCATGTGTCTGTATACATATTTGCTGGTTTTTTTTTTTTTTCTTTGTTTTTTTTTTTTTTGCCATGCACATTGCTTTGTATTTGCAGACATTGAATCTCAGCTGCCATTTTCTCTCAATTGCAGGCTAACTTTGAAGTGCCAGGACACATTCGTGCCGCACAGAGCATTACAATGGCATTCAGATGAGTTTTAATCTCCTCTTTTCACTTATCTTTTCCCTCTCCCTCCAGCAGAGCTGTGAGACACAGCACTTATTCTCCTCCCGACGGCCTCCAACCCTCAGATTGCTCAAATGCTCCATTCGTTTTGCAGCTTCTGCTGTGTCAGCAGCTGTGCTTTATGATTTAAGATGGCAGCAGAACTTTCCATTGAACTATAAACCCCCTTGCTTGGTTTCCCAGTATCCACGCAGCCAGGAGATGAGCTGGTGGCTGGGATAGCCCTGCCATGAGGGGCTGGGATGGATTTAAGGGGCAGCGGGAGGCCAGGCGCTGGCACAGGAACAGCAGGGACAGTGCTTTAGATCTGTGTCTTCCTGCATCCTCAGGTCTGCCAGTGCCCAGATGTGTTGTCATGTCTGTCAGAACACGGATCTGCTTCTTATTACTGGCCTTTCTAGATCAGGGGGTGATCCTAGCTAGGCAGAGCGTTGTTGTTAAGGCACTAATCCTCTTCTAACACAATGCCAGCTGGAAGTGGGGAAAGTTAATTAGGGTGGGGCATCCCTGGTTTTTGCTACATAAGGGTCCTAAAGCAGAAGGTCTGGTTGCTGATCTCATATATTTCCAAGGCCAGAAATGGTCCTACATGCACAGTACCAGGAGGAGTGACAGTTATTTTTTCTGATGAAGAAGTAGCAAAATAGAGAATGAAGCACAGCTAGCACCAGCAAGTTGGAGTGAGCATTGGAGCCAGAAAGGAAGCCTCACATCCCTTCCAGCACGCAAAGCTGGCTAACAGGAGGAACATGTCTAAGAGGAGGCAGAACTCTTTCCACCACATGTGAGATCAGGTTTTGTCAAAGAACCAGGAGGTGAGTGTTACCTGGGGCTGCCTTTCCCCTGCATGGACCAGGAGGCAGATGCATAGGTTAGCCCCATCCAGCTAGCTCCACTTTCCTCCACACACCACCCCTGTAGCCCTCTTTTAGGGCCACTTGGTACCACCACATGTAGGCTGCCTGCACTAATCTGCTCTCAGGGCTGCTCACCTCAGTCATGAGCAAAGCCTAGAACTCTAAGCTATTCCTGTCAAGCCTTCACACCTCACCAGGCCTTTTACTATGTCTTGGAAGAGCTATGTCTTGGCTGAAGCCACCAGGTATGCTGGTACGTTGCCTGCAGCTCTGTAGGGCACTGGGAGGAGGTGGATGCCCTCATCCCCATCACCCTTACAAAAACAGACAGGCATCTCCAATTTTCAGAGCAGTGATGAAATGCGTCCACCTGCCCTAGGAGACCAAAGGCTCACAGGGAGGACTTCTTTTCTCAGGAGGAAATGAGCTCACCTGTGGAGTTGGGCTGCTGGCCTTGTCCAGTTGCAGGTCTCACCTCCACCTGTGCTGCTGGAAAAAGGAGAAAGCATTATTAGGCTTTTTCCTGGAACAGCTGATCAAAAATCACATTGCTTTTCTTTCTGCCTGCCTAGTTTTAGGAGTCTGAGCTTTGAATGGCATGATGCTATGGGTCTGTATGCACAGTACCAGGAGGAGAAGCTGGTTGTTTGGTGGAAGAAGTGGCAAAAAAAAAAAAACGGGGGGGGGGGGGGGAGGAATCAGAGCCAGCACATCAGAGCAAGCACAGGAGCAGGACTCAGAGGGTTAAAGCAACCCAGAAAGCTTGAGAGGTTCCCTCAGGGCAGCTCCTGAACAGATGCAGGTAATGAATTTTCACTTCTGTGCTTTCATTATCATTGTTCTTAGCTGGAGGTTTACCATTTGTCCCCCTCAGCTGTGAGGCACGTTATTTGTGTCATTGAGGTGGCTGCAAGGACAGTGCTCCTCGTGTGGCTTTCCTGCTGGGAGTGGGATGGGTGCAGCTCTGGGGGCTCCTGCTACACTGAGCCCACATGCCTCTGCCTTCTCATTGCCTGCAGCAGTGCCAGGTGCCCAGGGTGCTGCTCAGTGCTGTGCCCAGCTGAGCCTGTTACTCGCCCAGTGACCACCAGCCACCCTCCTGTCCCTGTGCTCCTGCCCAACAGTGTTTAAAGGTGAGAGCAGGCGTACTGGGATTCAGCATGACCAAAGTTGGTGGAAGGATTATTGGTTGCTATGTTGTAAAGATCCTGTTTTTAGCTTTTTTTTGTTTGTTTTTTTTTCCCCCTTTAAATACTTTATTACATCATAAGGTATCTACGTCTTCTCAGAGAGGTAAAGAGGAGAGCAAATTCAGATGCAAACTGGTGTATAAGAGGCAGTGCTTTGCGTTGGTTCCAATCAAAAATTCTTTTCCATAATTTGTGCTATTTATTGATAAGCTATTTCTGTAATTTTCCTGGTAATTACAGAACTTGGAAGGCAACATTAGTAATTCCTGTATCATCTCCCTGGCACTACTTCTTTTGGAGCTTAGCCTCTCCCCTTAATGAGATCAGTGAAAGTTATTTGATATTTCCCATACATCCCAGAAAGTGGCAGAGCAGAAGAGGGAAGGCCGTGCCCTCCATGCACCAGCACAGTGCCTGGAGTTGCTTGCTTCCATGCCAGCACCATCCCATTGCTGGTCCCATAGCGACTTAACTGAGCTCGGTGGATTTGTCTTCGCCTCTGTTGCAGCAGCAGCAGCACAGCCTGCAAGGACAACACAGCCATCAGCTTGTGGGTTGGGAAGGCACCTCTTGTTCTCCCGATCCCCATCTGCTTTAGGGTTACTTGAGCAAAGGGAGGCCCAAGCCCTTGATACTGCACTGCTGTGTAAATGGGGAATGGTG